ATGGGGTAAAAAAGAAATCTTGCCGATACTGCGTTGCTATGCATTTTTTTTCTGTTTAATCCACTTTACTGAATTTGGATCTTAGCTTTTGTAAAGTAAAGTTGTTGTCTACATGTAGCTGTTTATAGCCGGAAAAAAAAACTACAGCATTGCCAACGTGGACGTAAAGTCATTATTTTAAATATCTTTCCTTTGTTTAAACATGGGGGAAAGGTTTGTTTGCATAAAAGAAGACAGGGAATAAGCCAAGAAATATAACGACAATGCTATTGGAACTTGAAAAAAGCGATGTGCATGGCACTTGTTGGGCCCATTCCGATTAAGCTATCTTTCTTTATCAACTGTTTTCTTTAAAAGCATCCCAATAACTTTATCATCGTAGAAATTAATGGTCCCTGAAGGCTAGAGAATGGTCTAGTTGGGCCTGGGAAGCTAACAGCATTTACCAAGAGCGCAGAAACAGGACAAACATTAAAAGAGCAGATAACGCGCATGAAAGAACTTTGCAAGCACATGGAGAAAGAAAGGATGGAAGCGGAAAATAAACTCGTGTATTCTCCTGTACTAGTTCCCCTGTATTTGAAAGTTAAAAAGGTATAAATAATTGGCAATAGAAACAGGTTTTTATCGCATTCCTACAATTTTAAGGAAGTAAGGGAGTGGAGCGCTTATTTGACATTTTGGCTCAGGGAGTGGGCGTTCATTTTGAGGATGGCTAATTCGAGCCTAGACGGAAATACGGTATTTCAGGAAATAAAACTGAGCACAAAAACACCATTTCTCTTCATGGATGACGCCAGGTTGACAATAACTTTTGTAGTGACAATAATGTATTTATTCTACAAAAAGGCAATTAAAGAGCAAGCTTATATCTCCAATACCACTAAAATATCTTTTGAAATTTGTATGAGCTCATTTATGCTTCAAAAACTATATAATAAATGAAACGGATGCTAGTGAACAAGATCAACCCAGTGTAAACGAAAAGCATGATCTCAAACAGTATCTGTGGATTGTACTTGTGCTCTATGAATTGCTGAGTGGGAATTTACCACCAGAAGTCTGAAACCCCTTAGCCTAGAATACCAGATTACAAGAGGAGCGAGTTTTTGAGAGCTCTTTAGTTTCCCAGATTGCTATCGTAGCTAACCTTGAACTTCCAGCTCGGAGGAGGTTATTAAAGCACAGTAGTACTCCGCTAACTCGACTCAGTTAACTTGAACCCCTTGGTAACTTGAACAAGATACGATTTCCCTTAACACATTCTCTCAGTCATGAACTATTAGCTAACTCGAACCCCCGTTAGTTCAAACCCTTTTTTTGTTGCCCTCAGAACATCAAGGTAGCATGGTTCTACCTTAATTTTAAATCTACAGATTTCCCAAGCCCTACATCTGCTTTTGGTGAGAAGTACTCAATTTTATACCAAAATTCTATAACTAATGATTCAAATTTGAGAAAGAAACATCTCGTAAATTTTCTACAATACTGTAATGTTCTATGTACGCCTTAAGGACCTACATTATTTAAGCGAAATGAGAGTGAACCGGCCATACTGTTGCAAGAGGCGTGCTTTGATTAAAGTTATATTCAGAGTCAATCCTATTGTTTTGTTGGACCCCAAACAGCAAAAATACCGAATATTAAATCCCAAAAGGTTTGCTCTCTTGTGCTAGACGCAGTAAATATACTATATAGTGAGACGCAATCAATTCCAAGCTAGCTAACATGGTGAACTCTGGAAGAGATTACTTTACATGAAATGATTTGATTAACTTTCCATCAAATGTTGTTTTAAACCTAAGTTTTCAAGAGGAGGCAGGACATAAAATACCGAAGGCCATTTCACCTCTTCTACAAAATTTTAAGATGTGATAGAACTTGATTCGTCAAATTACCCAAAACATAAAATTATGTGCTTTACTTATGAATATCAATGTGACTACTGTTTTAAACGGTTAACAATTTTACAGCAAATACAGCTTCTACCATGTCATAAAATGCTTTCAAATCAGAATAAACACAAAATTCTAAGTTGTAAACTCGGTGACTGGTCACGACAGAGGCAATGTGTCCCAGGTTACCACTTTCATAACCTTGAACTCTTCGCTTGCGCCAGGCATACTTCAAGGCATTAGAGACCAGCCTTCCAGGCTGTACCATGCGAAGTTCTGAAAAGAATAATTCCAGGTAACTATAATGATAATGAGTTCAAGGAAATGGTAAAGATATATCAAGTGGCGAATAATATTTTTGTCCTATAAAAGGTACATTAGATGTGTAGGCAATGTTGTTTTGAACGTGCAGATGCATACTACAGTTGAAACAAAAACTGCAAGGATAAAAGTCAGAAGTATTAAAATGTGGGTCTTCTTAGCACACAGCTAAGCTGGCGAGAGGATCGAACTAAGGTAACTTATCTTCCAAATAGGCTTTTATTATGATACATAAATAGAAATACAGAAAGAAAAAAAGGATCAATATCAGTATCTGGGCAACTGCCCACCTACCCCTCCCCTAACCCAACATTAACCTTAACTTGTTGTCAATTGACTGTTGTTGAGTTAGGGGAGGGGTAGGTGGGAAGTTGCTCAGATACTGATATTGATCTGGAAAAATTATGAACAGTTAAGTTACCTCTCAGGTCTATGTTCTTTTTTACTTTCTTGGTCTCATTTGCTTCTCCTTCGTCGGAAGTTGATCTCAATTCAAGTTTACAAACATCTTCATGAAAAAATAGTTCACCGTAATGCGGCATTTTGTTTCCTAAATTGAAATAAAGTTATGGGGCATTAGGTTCAAACAAAAATACTTTTATCTTCTTTGGGACACCAGCAGGGCTAGGGACCAGAGGCTAGATTTAAGTATAAGTATATCATGTTTACAGCGTTTAGTGAAAGTAAGAAAAATATAATTATTGGCTGTCTAGGTTGAAATGCGCGTAAAATGTGTGTTAGCACTCAAAATATTTGCAAAGAGTACCTCTAGATTGAAAGTTGTAAGACAACTCAAAACAGTCACCAAAGGCAAAAACAAAAACAAAAATTAAAATATAACGAACCTAAAAATTTTTGGATAGACACCTATTGACGACCTCATACGCTGGAAACAGCAAGAAACATTTGAATTTGGTGCACTTTGCAACTGATTGGTTGAGAGTGTGATTCAAATTTTCTACTTTTAGAGAACTCACAGATGATAGTGAAACAAAAGGGCTGGACTAAAAAATTCCCTTATGGAAGAGGTTTTGCTCCTCTATAAAATTCCTGTATCCCAATAAAATAAAAGTCAATTAACTTCTTCTTAATTTTCGTTGTTAAAGAAAACAAATTACCTCTCTTTGAATGAAGGAACACGTTTATGCCCCTAGAAAGTTTTCCTACAGCACGTCTTTGAATAAACATTCTCGGCGGAGTGGGGAATTCTGGGAATAACATGCGGAAGGTAAATGCAAGGGCTGTTGCTAGGATACCGCCTGTTACTTTGGCTTGAGGTAGCTCACTTAAGGAGTAATGATCACCAGGACAAACAAGGTGGGTTGTGCCTCCATCAACCAAGTCTCCCCAAACGTCCTCGACACGGTGTGATATGGCACTTATGGGTGAAGAGGAACTTTTCTGGCATTTAAGGAATGTGAGAGGACCTCGATAACGAACCTAATAAAGATAAAGTGGTAAAAAATACATTTTGCGTTGAGAAAGGTCCCTTTAGAGTGATGATTTTCAATAGCTTCCCACATGTCCTCTTGTAAAATATTCCATTGAGAGTCGGGAATTTGCTCACCCGAGCGATAATTTTTTTCCTTCAGTACAGTTGGGTGTGTCAGTCAAAATCTAGATCAAAGTCTAATTGCGTCATTCGTATGTAAGTGGAAAAAAGCAGGCAATTCATCTCTTTAAACAATTCTTAGGGCAGAGTAAGGAAATTTTAGGGCAGAGTAAAGAAATATTATCGATTATAGACCTTAAACTAGAGCTCCTAAATGCAAGGTGCCGGTTTATAGGTTCATAAAACTGCAAATGCAAGTTTCATTTCCGAAGAATGATATAATTAAATGAAAATGCTATTTACCTCAGCGGGCTGCCATTCGTGGTGTGTTCGATTGGCAATAGTTTGATTTGTGAAAAGAGCCTCCCTGAGGGTTCTTAGATTGTAGGAAGTAAGCCCCTTTGTAATGCTTCTGTTCTGCAGTTCATCAATTATCCAGTCTTGAGTGTGTGCCTCCCTCAGTTGTCTGTATTCGCTAACGTCCATCTTAAGGGAACCTAGGGCCAGCTTCTCTAGGTAGCTTTCAAACTGGAGCTAAACAGAGGTAAAAAAAATTTAATGAACTACAAGAGAAAACACTGGACAGTGTGAATAGCAATGTGAAGCCACTTCAGGGCTCTAAATCACTAGGAAAGCGTGGATATTGGTTCGCTATTGACGATTCTTTACAAATCGTCAGAAACTTATCTTTCGTTTAAAACCCTTTAAGGTTCATAAACCAATCATCCCTTGGTCCCTGCTTGACTGTTCAATTTTAATTGGCTATTAAAATGGCCACCTAAGATATCTCTAGACTGTATAACGGACTCATGTTCTACTTCAGCCAGTCTGCTTCCCTCTCTGAGTACAAATTAACGCTTTTTTATGTCTAAAATGATTTGAGTTTGAAGGTCTACTGTATTAATACTCAGGTTCGAAAGTAATAATTTTAGTTTTTTCAAGACGTAAAATCCTCATTCCTTAAATAAACAGCGCTTCAACTCTAAGACCATAGACGAGATTATCCAAAGGGATCACCCGTACATACACTCGCTTGATGAGGCATTTGTGTTACATTACATTCATAAACTTCAAATACAGCAACCCCAAAATGATAAGCATTTCATCTTAAAGCTTTGTCTATCAAATTGGCTGTTAGCGGGGTGTACACTTTTAACAATAACTGAAAATTTTGCATTTTGTCAAACCTGAACTTGTTGAGATAACATCAAATCAACTCTTTGGGGAGTAAACAGCCTAGAGGCTACCGTATGTGAACGTGATGACCAAGGGATTGTGTCAATCATGGCAACAAACTCCACACTCTGATTCTGTTCTATCAACAGGGAAGCCATTTCGTACGCCAGAAGTCCTCCATATGAATATCCGCCTAAAAAGTATGGTCCGTGGCGTTGCTCCTTCATGATCAACTGCACATAATGTGTGGCAAGCTCTCGTACACTTCCCCAGTCTTCACTGATGACTGTGGGGTCGGTAAAGCCCAGGGCATAAAAGGATATCAAATCCTGATAAGGAAAAATGAAAGATACGGCCATACGTTGAAAGACTTTTACAAATGATAGCTCGGACCAGCTCTCTTTGGATAAAAAATACTTGGAGGTCAAGACGGCCTTTAAAACATATCAGCTAGAGTCTATTCCGTTAGAAATCACTTTGGCAAACCAGGAAAATGGTAATAGTCCTATAGATATGTATGTGGACTTACTAACACTGACTTTAGCGATAAATAACATGATTGAATTGTCAGGGATTACCTGTCCTTGAAATCCAGTGGATATAGGCACCAAACTTAACACATAGCGGTGTGAGGGATGGACACAGAAGAATTTTATTGCTGAGCCCTCAGGAGAGTACAGGGGTAGGACTTGCACTTCAGGCTCTGATGAGATGGTTGTGGGAGATGATTGTTCTGATGATTGAGTGTCCGTGGGTCCATTTTCTTGAGTCTCACTATTGAGGCTGGCTGCTTTTCCAAGAAGCTTGGCATTAACTTCCCTGGCCAATTTTGATACAGTGGTATCAGGCTGCATAAAGTATAGAATCTGAAAAATAAAAGAAGGATTTATTTTTTAACATCTCAGTCAGTACTCATACATTTCCATCTTAATGAAGAAATGCGTAATGTGGCCTCCAGGTTACAGTTTATTAAAAGTATTTTAAAACTGTTCACTTTTGACTGCCAATAACATGTTGAAAAATGATCACGCAAAACATTTATGAGCCGAGACTTCAACCATAATTCTTCAAAATACTCTTTGTAACTGACTTAAATGATCATAATAGCGCCAAATAATAAGCTCGGCATCTATTGGTTTGTTTGATTTTGTAGATGGTGGGGCGATTTTGATCCACTTGAATTATAATGGACAGCTATTGAGTTCAAATACAAGTGGAACACAATTACCTTATTATAGAACTAAAAACATTTTAAAATGGTTTTAAGGGTTAGACCGCTCTTTATTCAATGGGAGTTTTATATCTTACCATCAAAAGAAAAATATCTCAATTAAATAATGTTTAATTCATTACGTAACGAACTTACCTCAAAAGTAGCCTGCAAATTGGATTCAAGTAGCATTTTAAGGGTCAGAGCTCCAGTTGAGTCAATACCCTGGCTGTACAAGCTTTTGTTTAGATCCATTTCTGAAGAAAACGAATGTCCTGACAAGTCTGACATGACCATGCAAATATACTCCAAGACAAGTTTGCCTTTTGCTTCTGGATTCCCTTCCATCTGAATCCTTTGCAGCAAAGAATCGGTTGTGTTTGTCTGGCCATCAGAAATGCTCATTCCTCCCGTGATCAGTGAAAATCGGAGACTCTTTCGAATTCCAGTGTTACTTTTCATGAATCGAAACCAGTCAACACCAAATAGGGAGATTTGAGAACGACTCGGCTCCTGGGCTAAAACCTTGGCCATGAATTTGACGCCTGAAAAGTAATTACAAAATGGCCTGTGACACGTTATTGTGATGAACAGCTTGACTGTGCACAAGTATCATGAATATGCAACTGAATCCCGGAATACAAAGGAAGCAGAGAAGGTTTTGTTTTAGAAAACTTCAAGTTGGCGAAATATATATTGACTGATTCAGCGGAAGTTGCCGTCTCATATTCAGGAACACCATTTACCACCAACTGATTTCTGTTGTTTGTGAGACTTCTGATTCATGGAGTAAACACTTTGCAATCAGCTAAACCATCCATTCCAAAAAAAAAGTAATAGAGAAACTGTTCTGTACAAAATAAAAACAAATCAATCGTAGCTTTTCAGTCACTGTGTCAAAGATAACCTCTGCGCTGATGCTTTCAGCTCAATAGACTTTTCAAAGATAATGGAACTATTTCCTGTGCACTCATTGCAGTTAGTTTTGTTGCCTCTTTGAACGATTTAACATTCAGATAGAAGTATTTAGTAAGTATTGACCTTAAAATTTTAGTATCTTTGTGAATTATACTTTACCATCTTTAGCGTTTATGAAGCCCAGTCCTGTTGCTGCCATGTGTTTAGCCAATGCCATATTACGTGCTAACACACCGGCCCCTCCTATAGGTCCCCAGTTTATCGAAAGACCGGGTAGACCAAGCACCTGCCTCCGGTAATGGGCGAGAGAATCTTGGAAAGCATTGCAGCCTGAATATGAGGATGATCCTATGTTTCCAACGACTGATGCCATAGAGGAAAACATAACGAAGAAATCCAGATCCATTTCCAAGCTCAGTTGATGTAGTAAAAAGGAACCTAAAATATATCTCACAGTCATTATTTCGGCTAAATTTAAGGTGAAGACGCAAATTTGTGAAGCTCAGGTGTTGTGTGTGCTCTAGATCAATATACCATATAGTTTGGTCAATTTCGAGATGTTCAAGCATTTTTCAGTTTTAAAGTAGAGTCAGTTGTAAAATATTTTGGCCAAAGTTTTGTCAATTCAATTCAACTGACATTATTGTAATCTATATAAAAAGTATACACTCCCGCAATCAAAGCCTTTTTATTATATGTTAAGGAAAATAAAACTTCATATGAATGGGTACAACGTTAGGAGCATTACTCAGTTTTACAGTGTTGTAAACGTTCTCCAATATTTTGAGAACAATAAAAATTAAGATTTCAAACTTCCTGACACTAGATTATTACAGTAACCTTGAATTTTAGGTCCCATGACGTTTGTGAAGCCTTCAAATGTCCAATCTTTAATTAAGGCATCGTTAAGAACCATAGCAGATTGCACTATTCCTGCTACACTTGGAAGAGATTCAAGCTGCACTTTCAACGACCTCATGGGCTCTTGTTTTGAGATGTCAATCTAAAAGAAGCAAGGATAATATAATTTTTAATTCATAAACCTCTCACTGTGCTTCAAATCCGAAACAGTTTTTCAGAAATCCTTCAGAAGCAACCTGGTTTCTCCTACTCAGGAAATTTCAATCTTGTCAGCTTGTCATTCTTTCAACATGAAAAGTGTCTTCGTAGCACGCCTTGTACCAGATGAGAAATTTTGTTTATTTAAGGAGGCTCCATAGGGTTTTTTCTCAATGTTGGCACGAGTTTGTTATGTTGTTTTCGCTTTTCTAGGTCACTAAAAGCCATCAAAAGGGCAATGAGCAAGGTTCGGACTATCTTTTTCTGTAATCAATATTAGCAAAGAGATTTTCGTTATTAAGCTAAGGCTCCACGAAGGGAGGCGCTCGCCGGTGATAATTTGGCTTTGCCCCTGTTCCTCTTCAATTTGTATTGGTGAAATCTCTCAAAATTTTCACAATTAGTAAAATTTGTACTGCCGATTATTTAAAAGCTGAAAAAAAATAGAGGTTGCAGAGGCAGTTTCCTCGCTATTTGCCATTTTGTGTTCTCTTCGTCTATCTAAAATTTGGTCTTGTGAAATTTTTTTATTTGTTGAAGGGTTCAGTAAATCTTAGGAAATTCCACCAAGGGAAACGCGATAAATCTCGTTCGAAATATCCTTATTTTCTATGTCGCAAAATATTACGTAATGGAATAGAACTTCACCGCGATCTCCATTTGAGCATGTGTAAACTTTCGAATTTGTCGCGATCTGTCGCCTTTTGGTAACCTTTCCCACGGTGTTCTCTATTCGGTTGACCTCTTTCTCAGGCGTAGAAGGCCTATGAATATTACGGGTGCAGTCGCTGGAAACCCGAGACTCCATAACATAAAAGCTGTATTGTGTTAAACTGTTTTTAACACACCTTTCCAGATAACAATCGTGCGATCGTATTGAGCCGCCATGTTTATTTTATATAGCTCGCGCTTTGTTCCCGCCCAGATCTCGCGGTCAAAAAGACCTTTGGGGCTTCCTTAAAGGTGATGCATTAAATTACCTGGAAAATATGGAACTGCACGCCTGTCTTTCTTTCAATATCTCTTAGTTTTTGGTTTTCTGCATCTGAGGGCTTGGAACGACCAATAAGCCCAATAGACTTGGCCCCGTTTCCAGCCATCCAACAGGCCACTTCAAATCCAAATCCTCTGATCCCTCCTGCTACTAGATACGTTCTGTTTTCTTTGAGGCCACACTCATCCAGACCACGTGGAAGAACGGGAATCTTTTGCAGAGTAGAACCTGCTTCAGACGGTGCAAATGAGTAAATGTGAAAGGAAATACCTGGGGATGATGTTGTTAAACGTTTCGAAGATGATTCGTTGAGCCTGGTTTCGTTTGCAGCTTCAACTGCTGTTGGTACTTCTGTGGATATCAAGTTGATTTCCAGAAGCTTTTCAAGAAGTCCTCCATCTTTTAGGACTGTTAGACTTTCTGAGCTAAGCTTTTGGTAAGTCTGTGGTGATCGAAGGATGTCTGAAATGTTCTCTCTTTCATACACAACGTTTTTATTTGCAGGAAGTACGACATCACCACTGAATTCAGGGCACAAAATGACAACTTTTCCCCCGCGTTTGAGAGCCCGACTACTTTTCTGAAGAGTGTTTGGAGGAGGTGGGTGGAAAAAGATAATTGCATCGAGAGGGTTACTGAAATGATCTTCAAAACTGGTGTATCTCTGATGTACCACACTCTCTGCTCCCAACTCTAGGAGAGCGGATTTAGTTGATGATTGGCAAGTGTCAGATATGGTGCAGAATACTCTGTGACCCAATGTCTTTGCAAGGGCAACTGATGCAGGTCCAGGGCTAAGTTGAGCTTGATGTATCAGTAACGTCTTACTTTCTTCCGTTGTTGCCACCCGTTGTAAGGCATAAAAGGCTATAGCTAGAGAAGCAGGGATGCATGTCGCTTGCTCTTGAGTTAGACAGGCAGGCTTAGAGAACACGTTGTTTGCTTTAATGGGAAGAGAACGAGAAACACGTCCGGAGGTCATAACACCACACACCACATCGCCAATCTGCAACTTTGCAATTTCAGTTCCCTTCGGTAGAGCAACCACCTTTCCAACAGTAAAGACACAAGCATTTGGTTTGGCTGCATCAACTATAGACTCAGAGGGTGTCCAGAAATGAAACAGTTCCATTGTGATCTCAGAGAGCAGTGGTTTAGAAACACTGTTTTGGCGCAGGCAGATCTTCTGTGAGGCAGGGATATTCGACAGGTAAAGAGAGGACTCCTTTTTTCTAAAATTTTCGTCGCTTGTAGGTTGCTCTGAGGAAATTTTTGATCTCACAAGGCGATTTATGAAACGTTTTCCATCTCGGAAGGCCACCTCATCCTCCTCACCATCACCTAGGATCTCAGAAAGCAAACAATCCACCTCATCTAGGTCATTCTTGTCACCAATATCAATTGTTGTAATCTTCAAATCAGGTTCTTCGAGCTTCGCTGTTCGTCTTAGACCCCAGACTGTTGACGCCCACGGAATGAAATTACTCTGTGGAGATCTGATGGAGGTATCTAACCGTTGCGTACTTTCAGTAACCAGCAGCAGTTGACAGTTAAGCCACCCTTTGTTAACGAGCTGCTGGATCAAAAATACTGAGCTGCTGAAGGCAAGGTTTTGCACTCGTTCGATAACATCGAAGTTGCTCGGTATTAGAGTGGTTTCTACTGGCCACATATTAACCACTTTAAAGCTGAATGAATCGTTTGGGGGTGTGTCAAGGAAGGCCGTGCTGATTGCCTCTACTGCTTTAGCGTCAAAACAAAAACTCTTTGGTGGATCAACGGTAATTACTTTTACCTTCGAGTCGTGAAGTTTTGTGATTAAGGCGTTTGAGAACAAAGAGCTGTCTCTTAGTAGGATACAAGTCAAATCTGGCGTCATTCGTTTGTGTTCTTGCACATCCGCTTCCTCCCACAGCATGTCATATGCAAGATCCTCATCGGAAGTAAACTGCCGTGGTAATTGCCTCATTTCCACGACTCGAAACCCGCTCATGGTCAGTAAAACTTTACCTGATGGACTCATTAACGTGATGTTGTACCTTCCAATATAACTGAGATCTTCAGAGACGTGACAATACAGCTTATTGGTGGATGGAACGTCACTTAAAGTGATGCTCTTCAGTCCGAATGGAAGTGGAGCAACGGCTAAATCATCAATCTGTCGGTTCACACGCGAAAGCAAGCAGGATTGAAGACAGGCGTCTAAAATGGAAGGGTGTACAATAAAATCTTTACTTTCTGCCTGAACCAGGGGTGAATCACCAATATCAACCAGAGCAAGTCCATTATTGTCGCAGTACCAGGTTTTTTCGATTAACGAGAAAGATTTTCCGAAGTCAAAGCCATACTTCTGGGTTAATTGTTTCAATCGTTCAATGGGCACTTCTGTCATACTTCTGATCAAATCATTTAAGGCTGGGCCAACTTCATCGCAGCCTGCCGGAAAAAAATAAGGAAATATCTTTGTAAGTGTTAAATTATTAAATAATTGTGGCTTTCAAAACAACTTTTATAAAATTTAGAGGTATACAAATAAACAGAGAACAGGGGCAGGTATTACAATGTTACAATACCTTTTCCCTCACAGCTTTCTTTACTGTGCAAGAGATCTACAGAGATATTTCCACTGCTTAAACTGATTTCAGACTGATTTTCCTGCAAGCAAGTGATGTGAAACTGGGCCTCGTCAATTCTTTCGGACTTTACCAGGCGTAGTCGTAAGGATCTAACCTAAATTAAAAAGGATTATAAACAGTCAGAAATTCAACTGTAGCTTCACTGTATTTTTTATTTAGCATTTGCTCACCTTTGTTTCTGGCAAGGTAAGAATACTCAAAAACTTTACATCTTTTAGTTCAATGCCAGAGCCATAATTGAACGTTTCCTTTGCCATTGCGAATGCCATCTCCAGGTAAGCAGCTCCGGGCAGCACTGTACCTCCCTCAAGAAGAACATGGTCCTTTAGACTCTGAAATTTCTGTAGGTCAATCTCCGTCTCCCAGCAGTGTACACCTGAAAATGGGTCTGTCTTTTTTACCTCTGAAAGAAACGGGTGCGGTTTCTTCTTTATGGTTTCCTCAGAACCAAGACGGTGCACTACAGTTTCCAATGGGCCATCCCTGAACCAAAAGCTGTTTTCCAGCCATGGGGAATTTGGGGGCCGAACAAATCTAGCTGACTGGTTCCTCTGCATCTGAGTCCAATCTACTGGAAATCCTGCCGCGTACAATATGCATATTGTGTTCTGAAGAAAGCATCTGTGTTGATCCTTGATGGGTACCCTCTTACGCGGAAGAGTTACCACGACAATGGGCCTTTCTTTAACTGTGAGATTTTCTTGAAGAGCAATCTGTTTGACATAGTGGGCTAGAATTGGTTGGGTACTGATCTCAACAATTTGTCTGTAGCCATCTCTTAAAAGCTGTTTCATCGCCGGATAGAATTGGACTGGACATCGAATGTTTCGCCACCAATAATCATTGTTTAAGTGCTGACTCGAAATCACTTCTCCCTCAACAGTAGAGTACATTGGAACTTTCGACAGTTTAAGGTTCAGATGCATGGCTTCAACAGCTCCTTGAAAAGGTTTCTTGATGGGTTCCATATGCAGGCTGTGAAATGCATGATTTGTTCCAAGAACACGCCAGAAAGTATCCTTTGCGTGGGTCGATAGATGTTCTCCCAGTGCTTTAATCGATTGTGATTCACCAGATACTGTGACACTATTAGCATCATTAATTGCTGCTATGTCGAGAGAGGGGCTTAATTTAAGGGTAAGTAGTAATTCTTCGGCCTTGACCTCGGACATGCCTAAAGCAGCCATACTTCCATTGTTAGCACATCTATCTTGAAGAGTTGAGCGAGCCAGTACTAGCTTAACAGCTTCCTTGACAGTTATGATTCCAGCAACGCAAGCAGCTGCAAACTCTCCTAAACTGTGACCAATAACAGCTGACGGATGAATTTTCCAGGATTTCAGCAGCTGTGCAGTTGCGTACTGGATAGCAAAGGTGGCCAGCTGAGCGATACAGTTTTCCGCTATTCTGGAAACGTCTTCAGGGGCCATCAACTCATCTATAAGTGACCATGTCACTCCCAAGTCTCTCAGAAAGTTGCTAACTGTCAAGACAGCTTCTTTGAAAACAGCTTCATATTCCATTAACTGTCTTCCCATGGCATACCATTGCGATCCCTGGCCTCCAAACATGAAAACAAGTTTTCTGTCACTTGAGGTCACTTGGGCATAGGAAGCAAACTTATCCCAACCCACCGAGTCATTGGCGAAGGCCTCCAGTGACTTTGCTGCTTCGGAAATGGATCCGAAGGCAACTGCCAAGCGATGCGGGTTCTGAGTTCGGCGTTCATTTAAAGAGTAGCATAAGTTTTCAACAAAGTGCTCATCCATTTCTCCAGCGTTGGCCTTAATCCACTCAGAGTAAAGGTGTGATATCTCCTTGAGAGCATCTTTAGAGCGCGCTGTGATCGTGAGAATTCTATTACGACGTGTCAAGTTTTCAACTTTTAGGTTTGGCGTTGATGTAACCTCGCGGAGTATAACATGAACATTTGACCCACCAAATCCAAATGAGTTTACAGCTGCTATTCGCGACTTTCCATTCTCTTTGCTCCAAGGCTCAAGAGTTTGTTGCAAAACTAGCCCCTTCTCTTCTAGCTTTAGTTTGGGATTCAAAACTTGAACGTTGACAGTTGGTACAAACGTCTTCTTTTTTATCATCAGAGCAGCCTTAGTTAGCCCAGCAAGTCCAGAAGTGCTTTCTGTGTGATTGATATTGGATTTTACTGAACCGATTCTTAACTTCTGTACGGATTGTGTGGCTCTACTAGTGTAGGTCTCCGCTATCGAGGTGACCTCCACTAAGTCACCGACTGCAGTACCAGTCCCATGTGCCTCAAGGTAATCCACGTCTTCTGCAGTCACTCCTGATTGTTCCAGCACCCACCTTGATAGTTGAACTTGCATCTCGGTACTTGGAGCGGTCATTGGCACGGCATTTTGTCCATCACTGTTCATTCCACATGCAATAATTTCGCAATACGGATCGTCTTTGTCACACAAAGCATCTCTTGTCATTTTTAAAACTACCGCTGCAAAGCCTTCTCCTCGTCCATAACCGTCCCCAGTAGCATCAAAGCTTTTACTACGCCCATCGGGCGCGAGTAGTCCAGCCATACCTGTTATCATCTGCATATGATGACAGAGAATGAGATTAGGTGCACAAACGATGGCTACGTCGCAATCATCATTGTGCAGGTTATCACAGGCTATCTTTAGAGCAGTAAGCGACGAAGAGCACGCTGTGTCCACAACAAGACTTGGACCCGTTAGGTTAAGGCAAAATGACACTCTGTTAGCCAGAATACTGGCCGTTGTTCCTGTCGCGGAAAACTGATCAATATTGCCACTATTTGATTGTTCTCTTAAAAGACTACCGTAGTCAAGATTCATAGCACCAACAAAAACACCTGTTCTACACCTCTGTAGGTCTTCAAGTCGCATTCCTGCATCTTCGATTGCCTCATACACCACTTGTAGGATAATTCTTTGTTGAGGATCCATTCCACGAGCCTCTTGGCTGGAGATACCAAAGAATCTGTTGTCAAAACTTCGAATTTCTTCCAAGAAAGAACCGTTGATAGTACATAGGCGTTTTTTAACAAAACGGTTGGGATTGTAATGCTCGACGAATCTTCTATACTGCTCTGTTCTATTCTCAGGAACTGCACTGATTGAACTTTTTCCTTGCTTTAGAAGAATCCAAAATTGGTCTACACTGCCAGCACCGGGGAATTTACAACTGATGCCAACAATAGAAATTCCTGGACGTCTAGACAAGAACTTCCCTATGTTGCCACCTCGTGTTTCCTCTAGGGGAAAGTCTTGAAGTTCCTGGCTATTTGGTTCCTCTTCTTCGTCACCACTGAAATGAAAACTGTGCACAAATTCCTCATATGATATGATGACTGCTGGGAGTATTATGAGAGCGTGGATCAAGCCCAAAATTAAGACCATAGGGTGGGTCAGATGGAAAATGTCTGCCAAGTTTGGAAGAATAAACCCTAATGAGACAGAGGCGGCCATGGATATTAACGTACCAATCAGCACTGGCAATCCAACAGAACGCAGGGCGTCAATCATGCGCTCCCGTATTTCTTGCTTACCTGAAAACAAGAACGAATGGCCCACTTCAAAACTGAAGTTTAAGGATATGATGATCGGTGCAAAAAGAGACGGAAAGGCAATTTGATTCACGTAACTTCCCATTGCTCTCAAAATAGCTGCTGCTTCCATTACAAAGAGGTCGAATGTCAGAGCCAAAAAGATACTGATACCGCAATGAACGGTAGCAAGAAAAGAAATTGTAAACACTACCACTGTACCAGCAACGAACAAAATTATAACTGATTCTTTTTCGAACTTAGAGAGATCATCAAGGTCGAAAAATTCCTCAGAGACCGGGGTGGCTTTTAGGGGAAACTTTTCAAGTAAGTCGCCTCTCAGTTTCTTAAGGAATTCTTTATCCTCTTGAAATCTGTTGTCGAGTGACATCCTTAGATGAATTCGAGACGCTGAAATTTTGACACCAGAAGTTGAAACTTCCAAAACGAGATCTTGTCGAAATGGCAAACTGTGAGAATCATTAAGGAAATGTTTCAAACACTGGTAGAATTTTGAGTGCGAACAGCTCATGTTTTCATTTTGTATCCACTTTCGTAAGACTGCCATCCAACAGAGTGGCTTTCCTTCACCATAGGTGGCCTCTTCCAATTTCGCACAAACTGATATTATATGATTTTGCACAGTTTCAAATGAATAGTCAATGTCCTCGGAGAAAACGATGCTTATATCAGTTTCATCATGGAAGAAAATCTTTCGTGCCCCACTGAACTGTTTGAAGTTGTTATTCTGATAGCGGGACTCTATGGTACGAACTCTTTCTCCGGGTAAGAATATGGGCAAAACACACAGAGCGATGGTTATGAAAAGTAGTACAAGCGAGACAATTTTGCCGCCATGTGATGTTATGTTCTCTAGCAATCCCTTAAGAATCCGTTGCAGTTTTGTTTCATGGCGTTGTAGGCGTCCTTGAGGGACACTTTCAACTTCATTAATGAGACATTTCATTTTGCACTGCGGAATAGGAAGGGTTTTGGATGTCTTTGACGCCCTTTCAAAGTGCATCTGCAAAATGATTGTTATTATAAAAGTAAAAGCAGAAATGATTACATAAAAGATAAGTATTGTCACGAAAAAATTGCGAATCCCCTCGAAAGAAGATTTGATTGCAATTCCAGAAAGAAGAGTTCCACAAAGGGCTGTCATCGTAGCTAGGACCCCTGTTCTAGCTACACAATTACTGACGCGATGTTGAAGTGATGACACCTTTTTCTGCCTTTCCCACTCCACTAGGAAAAGTACGACGTCAGAGGTTGCTTTCCCTAACAACAAGAAGGGAATACATAGGGTAGTTGAGGATAAGGGAGTGATTGTCATGGAGACAGAACCAACAGAACTTGATATTGGTAAAATAATCGAAGACAACATGAGGAACGCTGTTGATGGACAAGTGGCGTTAGTAAGAAAAAAGTATATGACGAGGAATACAAGGACAGACAGTGAGAACACTGAAATAAAAAGAGGTTTCATCTCCGGTTTAAAGACATCTTGCAAGGCATCCATTGATGCTCTTTCAGTCTTGTAGGAAAGTTTTGCACATTTCAGGCGCGGACCCATCGAAGAGAGGAGACTGTCAAAGGAGGATTCGAAGCTCGAAATTTCTTCGTCGTCTTCTTTACTACTTGACTTTTTCATGAAGTAAATAGCACGAAGAGCGTCGGCATGAGCTGTCAGTGGATCTCTATCTCGCTCCATTTGAAAATTAGCCAACATTTGCCCGTGAAAAGATTTGAATGTTTGACCAGAAGAGAGAAGAATTGTAGGGTTGGTCAATTCACGCATCAGAATGGTTGAAAGGTTGTTTAAATGTTGGAAGTAAGTTCCGGCCAGTTCAAGAGGACTGCTGACCATGCATCTGTGCCCAGCATTTTTTTGTAGAATGCTTGGAAACTGTTGCCTGAAACATAGTTTGGTGTAGCCGCTAATATTTATTATGGCATGGTGCACCATAAGGGCGTCTCGCAAGCATTCCTCGCTCAAAATATTTTTTTTGTGTTTAGGAGTCATAATAACTTGTTCTTGACGCGCTTCAAGCGTTGGAAAGAATCGGGCAGCAACATGCAAGTCTTGCCTGGATTGGCTGTCACTGGTAGTGAAAGACTCAACGTTAGGCTGCTCGATACGAAGGCGAATGAATCCGAACCAGCTACCCATAGCAAAAAGGAAGAAGAACAGAAGAATAACCACTGATCTCCGAGAAATAAAGATCCCAAATTTTTCGAAGGCTCTTTGGTACCAAACACCAATGGGTAGAGATTTGTTCTTGCGCCCCATGCTGATAGCCCCACGCCCAAGTTTCTTACGTTTCGGGCGAAGCCGGCCAGATCTACACGAGAGAACGTCAACAATCAGTTTTAGTAAATTTATGGTTCATGAAATTAAAGGCATAACGTTGAGCAAATCATAATTTGTGAAGTGTACACACTAAAAGACTGATTCGCTCATAAGGTCACTCGTAAAGTTAGGTAGTCAAATGAAAAGAAACGTCACCAATTAGTTTGTACAACGCCAAGACGATTGACACTTAATTGTGGTTTACTACTTCTACTATATACTACTACAACTTGTGGATGTAATGAGTTCAAGAAAATTACATGAATTCTGAGACTCGATACTTTTTACTTCACAAGGAAAAAAGTAGGTTCAAGTTTTTCTCAAAAGTTTACTTGGCGAGGTGTCCTACAGTAATACTCCTTTGGTTAAATGAGGGGTTGTAAAAAAAATGATGGGTTTTAACTTTTCAACCCTTAAAACGTGGTTCTTTGGAATATGCACTTCAATTATCAAAGTATTTTCCCCATGATAACCGAAACGGCGAGCCATTTGGTTCTGTTAGGCTGTTCTGAGATGAATATTACTCACTTACAGAGGGGCTCCACAAGCTAGAGAACTAGATAGCCGATTTAAACGAGGTAATTAAGTATGTGACGCTATGACGGTAAACGTTTTCTTGACTGTGTTGCACTTTGCATCCACTCACGTAAAACAGCCCTGTAAATTTTTGGTTTTCGATTTAGAAACTTAGTTGATGAAACCAGATTTTAAAATCTGTTTTGCGTCTCTCTCGCATCGTCCAGAGTATAACCCTCGTGACCAAGCGAGCCCCTGTATTCACCCAGGAGTGACGACAAAGTTGCAATGAGCTGTCGCTTATACCGTGTCTCACTCGCAAAAGTCAAACGAGATGAATAAAAGAAAACAGAATTGCTAATCCAGAAAGTCATTCGTTTTTCATACTCTCTCATTGATGATGGCCATGTTAATGTATGGAAGGTCAAGAGTGTGGAAGTTTTCTTATACTACGGTGATTTTGACTGTGTGAAGTTAAAAAAAGAATATTATATGCGAAGCATGGCTATATTGCTCTAGCTTTAACTACAATAAAATTTTGCGACTTTCATGAAAAAAATTACTTCCATAATATTCCAGAATATTATATGCGAAGCATGGCTATATTGCTCTAGCTTTAACTACAATAAAATTTTGCGACTTTCATGAAAAAAATTACTTCCATAATAAAAAGATATCGTTTACGAATCTTCTTCCATAAACGTTGATAAATAAAATTAAAGTCCTTAGCAAACAGACAAACTCGATACTACTCTGCCTGACCTCACGACTTCGGTTGCTACAATCTTGCTCTTCGCGTAACGAGAATGCCCTTTTTAAATGAATTTGCTTTATCTGCCAAAAGATGTTTGGATAGATACATTTCCAACATTAAAGCTAGCTCCAATTCTTGTTTCAATGAAACGTTCGCTCTGAGATCCTAGAGAACCGAGTAGTTAAAAATGGGGCTTCTGGCGCATTTTGAAATCAACCCTGATTTTTAGGGCAACTTATGAATTCAACCTTGAAATCAAGGTTGACTTAAAATCAACCTTGATTTCAAAAAACAGTTCTTGCACATTTCGAAGACAACTTGAATAATTCAAAGGTGAATAATTCCACATCCTCTTAACGATGCCTCACTCGTGAGTTCTGAATAGGGTGTGAATATTATCGTCTTGAACAATGCTTTTGTGGCGCCATTAGCGTCGCTGAAAGGGTATTGATTGTTTGTGAGGAGATTTATGAAATATCAATGTTGTATCTTCTCGAAAAGAAGTCGTGATGTTCCATGATTTGTTCCTCTGTCAAAATTGTGTCTTTGTAAAGTAGAGGAGTGTGGCAGTTTCATTAATAGGTCACGCTTTCAAGCTCACGGTTGATGATGTTGAGCTGAGCATCTGAGAGGATGAAGATGTGACATTTAACGTTCCCCGATCCCGATGCTTTCCTGTTAATTGCGGGCTGAACTCCTTTCATATTCACCAATCTCAATCCACTTCCGCGAAGATCATTGTCTTTCATGCTTCTGGGATCTATGAAAAGACCGAATCCGTCTCCAGCAGTCTGTTGCATTCATCGGGCTGTTTTCCTTTCCAAATCTTCTGAGGACCTCTTCCCACATATCTCTTGTCTTCATTCATTGGCAGTAAACCTTATTTGGGATTCCATTGACAATCATGTTCACCTCAGTGATGTCGGGATTGAACGTGTTCTCACTGTCTCTCGCACCAGCGACACATGGCGCGTAGAATAGAAGATGAAGACCCTTCATTGATCTTCTCGGAACATTTATCTCTCATTAATAATCGTCTCTGACCCCAACTGGGCGCAACAAGAAGGTCGTGGGAATGATGAAAGATGAAGCTGATGGAAAGATCATTTGAGACTGATGGATTGAGAGCAAAACTCTACAGCTAAAAGAGGGAAAAGAAAAGAAGGAGTGTAAGGGGATTAAGAAGGCTGTAATAAAGAAGAATACAACTCACAACGACTATAGGAGGTGCTTATTCAGCGGAGACATGCCAATGAGGAAAATGAATGTAATCAGATTACATATCCACGAGATCTTCACTATGGCCATCAACAAGATAGCTTTGAGTGCTAATGATGATAAGAGAATAATAAGAGAAGATAAGATATCAACTTTTTCTCATGCTCACTATGAATCACATCAATAAAAAATAAGAATCCTGATAATATTCCGTTCAATGCATTAAAAGTCAGACCTACAAATTTAGGAAAGACAAGATATGTGGTCAGTCTCCTTGAGCACCACCTTTCGAGTAAAGCTTGATTAAATCGTTCTCCTCTGTCCAAAATTCATCCACAACAAGACATATGACAGTTTAGGAGGAAACGATAAGGACACTTATTTTGACTCGACTGCAAAACCAAATTGATGATTGGCTTAAGATTATTAGTTACGTGTATGAAGGGAACTAATACACAGATCATGCTCGGTGACTGCGCTGCTTCGAGAGATGTGAAGCAGAGGACGAATGAACTCGTGAATTTAGCATTCAGCGCAAGACAAAGGGAAATCGGAGTTTGGGCTTTCACACAGCAGATGACAAGCATTGCGAAGGCATTCAGAGAGAACATCGTTACACTAGTTCTCTCTTATACACCACCTACCAAGGATATGAAGATCATTTTCGAGGATTATGCAGGTGAGTTGAGTAATGATAAAAAGAAAGAACTGACGGCAAAGCTACAGAGGGAGAAATACACCTCATATTCTAACCTCGCCATGCCTTCAGTAAAAATTTTAAAAATTTTGAAATGTGTAAAAAAGAAGAAATCATAGATGTTAAGAATATTCTCGAAGCTGAACCCTCAAGTGATTCCAATCATCGAGAGCAGCTCGCTGTTCTCGTTGCAAGTGGTAAAGCGAAGGAAATGATTGGTGTATCCCTCACCAAGGATCAAGTCGAGAAGCTTTCTGAACAAGATGTTGAGAAGTACTTCAAGAGATATGAAGCTTCATTGTCTTCAAAGACTTGCGATGCAATAGTTGATACATTTCTTCAGCTCTCATATAAAGTATTGGCCCATTTTCTCCCTGTTGATAAAGGATAAATTCTGAAAGACTTGAACGATAACTTCATGGTAAAGAGAGAACTCGGAACAATTGCTGGTGGGTTGAGTCTAAGGTATGGAAAGTACATGGCAATCGCAAGTGCTGCTCTTCTCACTGCCAAAAATGTTGAAACTTTAAGGAAAGAAACCTGTTAACACAATCAAAGACAAGTCGGTTGCTTCGAAGAGTTACCACTTATTCAAGACCTGTTGGCCTGAAGGAAAAGAGACTGGATTATTCAAAGAGTGTGAGACATCTCTATGCCGCTTGTGAGCTCGAAGGTGGTCAAAGAAGAGCAACAGATTCAATCTGGTCTCTGAAGGTCTATAGCATCGAGAGATCAATTGTAAATTGGAATGAGCCTGTTCTCTACTATCTGAAAGATGGTCCGCAGGGTGGTTTCGTCAGGGAAGAGCTTCAGATTGTTCCTCCTAGAACTTAGCTGCCTCCAGAAGGAATTCGTCGATTTGAAAAAAATCAGGCCAAAAGAACAAACAAATAAGAATGGCACTGTCAGATTTAAAGCTGATAATAATCGATGAAATTCTGTGGTATCAAATACTTTGCTACTACATATCCATCAACAACTAAAAGATATATTGTCAACATCAAACAACTATCTATTTGCAGGACTTAGCATTATTATAGTAGGTGATTTGTATTGACTTCCACCAATTTGAAGAAAATTTGTCTTTGAAGAATATAAAAATGTTTACAATTTGTGCCATTCCTGGCTACTTTTCAAGATGATAGAGTTGACTAAAAATACGAGACAGAAGGATGACCAACCATCCACAGAATTATTTAATAGATTCAGGACTGCTTCACAAACAGAGGGTGATATTCACTGCATTCAGTCAAGGCTAGTGCATCCTGAAGATACTGATTACCCAGTATCTATTGTTTTGTATTTTTGGGACAGTTTTTTCTGTATCTCCTGTTTATTTTTCATATCCCTAAATTGTTTTTTCTCCAATAATATTTTTTTCTCTGCTGGCTCCATTACTTTATAGTATTGTTTTTTTCTATGTTTAATCATCAAGTTTTTTCTTTCCTTTCTATCAACTACTTTACATGAACATGTAGCAAACAGTAG